ACACTGACTGTTTATAGTCATGATTTTACAACTTATAACTGCCTTTAGTGTTTCTGATCAATCTTGCTGTCACCCAACATAATAAATAATGCACCCAACAACCTGTACGTGCTGAAGAGATAGAAAACCACGGCGATGAACAGACAATACATATTTCATACAAAATTAACACTTTCATATTCAATGTTCACATCAATAAAATATAATGAAGGAAAGTGAGAAATGCACATGAAAAACCTGCAGCAAAAACAAGCCCTCGGTACAAAAGTAAAAATGTTCAACAATGACATCTATTTACATTAACTGCCAATTGTGTTCACATCTGTTGAACCAGTTTAGCACATCCATGATTTCCCATTTGTTTGATTCTCCTTCTCTTCTTAGCATATTCGGTGTAAACTCCAGCAGGCAAGTTCTGGCTGTTTATTCCACTTTCTGAGTTTGGTCTTGTTCCAGAACATATCTGTTTTACAACCTGGTTTAACTGTATGCAGTCCACTAGTTCTTGGCCTCTCAGGCCAATACCGACTCCCCCTCCCCCCAAAAAACCAATTAAATCCTTTTAAAACATACTTGTTGGGTAAGGTAAATGGGGGGTGGGGGGGATTATTATTTGTTTCTCCCAAAATGAGGACCCAAAATCCACTTGGGTACTAAACAATTTTTCATGTTAACAACTGGTAACAATAGTATATTGGGCATGTTTTGTTTTTAATGCCAATTATCTAAGGAAACTTTAGTTTTCTAAATTACAATACTTTTATTTTATATATATATATATATATATATATATATATATATATATATTTTTTTTTTTTTTTTTTTTTTTTTTTAGTTTGGTGCCATCTCCACAATGGAGGTTGCCTACAGTGTATCACTGTTCTAGAATATTATGTGATGAGGCCCCAATCTCTTCTACAGTACCACTGAAGCCCATGAGAACAGAATTGTTCCTGTCCACCACAGGGAACTAACCACAGTACTCGAGGATCCTAAAATAATTAACCTCTTTCGCTAGCCTCTTAGCCAAACAGCCGTAATAATTGTATATTTAGGACACCTACAATTTGCCAAACTGTTAAGTGGAAGTATTTCTTATCAGAAAATTAGCAGCAATTCCAGCATGGCTTCATTTGACATAACTGTCCCACAGAGATCCAAGAGAAAAAGGGAAAAACATGTCCTAACTAATGAAATGTGAAATAAATGGAGAAAGGTAGCTAGGAGGGCCAAAAAAATCCCTACGACAAATATGGACATAAGAAGCCAAAGGTGCCAGACTGGATTCCATCGAAAAGGATAAAATGGAATGGAGGAATATTGTGCAAGCCATATGTGATGTAAAAACAACACATCGAAATCATGATCAACTAACCATAGCTATAATAATTCTCCTAAAATATAAGATTAGTATTATACACATAATTTATACATAAAACAATATGCTTAACAGAATAAATGATGGTGAACTAATATAAATCATTTTATCCATAAAATGTGTGAATATGTACAAAATAAGCACTAAATGTGTACATGTAAACAGGAGTTACTAGCATGTTGATTAAAAATGTCATATGGCATATATATTAGACACAACAAAATAAAATAAGATAAAATATGATGACATATATGGGCTACCATCTACTTCACCTGTGCTTTGGTTATAAACTACTTGATTATCAGTCACCACTGCTTCAAAGTATACAAGAATGAACATGAACTAACAAAGTCCTAAAACAACCTTACACTTCTAAATAGTTTATTTTGGCATCTACAAATGGTTGCCATAGTTCATACAGCTGCTCAAAGCATTCCTGGAAATCCCTAATTGAAATCTCCCTGTGGGTTACAGGCCAGTATTCTGGGTGAGAAAAGAATAGACCTGCTGCCCTCTAAATTACTTATTGTGAAAGGCACCAAATTATAGGGGTTCTGAAACTGAATGTGTTGTTCAAAAAGTGCAGCTATTGCAGCCCAGCTGTAAACCAATACAACATGCCAAAATCCCATTTGAGGATGACTGTTAAGAAAAAGACTCCTTGAAACCTCTTTCAACTACACTGTATGACCGAACATCTACCCATTCATGATGGTTTAAGGTGAATTGGTGCCTGACTGGGAAGTCTTTCCCCACAATAAGCCTTCTGTCCATGCTAACAATATTCTTTGTGAGGAAATTCATTGTTTTATTAACAGATAATGGTAGCCATTACCACTTTTTTAAATTTAAAAACAAACGTTCTTGTGGTTTCTGGACAACGGTACAAGAAATATTTCCAAAGACAGCAGTTGATATGCTGTAGCCAACCTTCAGTGTGGGGATGAAACACAATCTATCATAGCCAACCTTTATTGTGGGAATGAAACACAATCTATTATCTTATTAACTGTTACATACCCCACAGAAGAATTAATTCCAGGGTAGAAGTAGAAAGACAATGACTAAGGTGTGAGAGTTTATAATGTAACAGGCTCACTTAGCAGACAGAAAGGTGGAGATAAGCCTGCTCTGTGCTGAGGGGCAAGCACTGGTTCAGAGGTAGTTAGTGTCTTGGATCTTTTCTCTGGGGCTGTAGGTGTATTCGGAAACAGACAGACAGACAGATTGGCTGGTTCTGCACCACCACGTGGAGAAGCTAGATGTATTCAAGACTTTTTGGGAGAAGAATGATGTGAAAGCACACCAGATTATCAGAAGAATGAGGAGAGAATAGTGTAGTATGGAGCGACCAGAGAATGTAGTCAGCACTCCCTGCAGGAAAGGCAAGAGGGACAAACAATTAAATGCTACTGGTACAATCAGAATTGGAATACTCTACACTGTCTGCTGAATATGGGGAAGGGACACTTATGGGGATATCCCAAGTACTGTGGTGTCAGTTCCTAACTCAACTCTACATATATATTGGCTGGGCATGTAAGTGGGCTTCTTGTATCTCCCGAACTAGCAGCACTCTAGTCAGCATCTTGTCCATCGTGTGGATGTCTATTGACTGGGTTGAGTACCACACAGGGCTGTCTGGCACACAAGAACGTTCTGGAACTGGGTAGAATATGTCATTGCGGTTCTTGATGCTCTCTGGGCTGTTGAGATACAATTATCAATTTTACTCACTTACATTAAAGGACTTTTTTTTTTTTAAAACAATGGTTAGCATAACATTCTTCTTTACCTTCCATTCCCCAATATAACATAGGCAGTCAACCGTTATCCTGTTCCAGCATCTTTTCCTCATCTCTTGATTCACTGCAGTTTGTTTATTTCTCTCCATAAGCTCTGCATCAGTGGTCATACAATTTTTGCATGACCTCACTTTTCTTCTAGAAAAGTCTCTCTTCCTCTTGGTTGAGTGAGTCTTTTGTCTTTGCTTTTACAACTTGCTCCTACTGGCTGATAGAGTCAGGTGTCTTTCCTTTTACTTGTTCATACTGGTTGGCTGTAGTGGCTAAGGCTTTCTACAGGAGAATGGAGCCGGTTAAAGGTCAACTTTAGTTATTTGCCTCTTATTTCACACATACTAGGTTACAGTGACACTGTTCACTGGCATCTCTTAACCACTGACTACTACAATCGCACATTATGTGATCGTCGACGACAGTTATGCCTGGCTAAAATTACGCTCGCTGTCGTGTTAAAACTGCCACTTTTGTGATAGATGTAGTTGAACTTCATTTCTTTAGTAGTTCATTTCTTTGTTTCTTTAAGGAAAACGATTCGGTAGTGCTAAAGGTAAATTTTCCACAAATTTGTCTGGTGGGACCCCATGTTGACGACATGTCAGGCAGATTTTTTCTATTGTGGCTATTCGTCAAAACCGGCATAGTGGAACAGTATGGGGACATTTCTGATGCTATAAGACATAATCTTTACTGTTTCAAATCAGAAAATGAAGGTGAATATGTTATTAACAATGTTATGACTGTGACTTTGATCATTTTTATGAACTGCCATAAAAAATATCGTCGAAACTGGAAGATGACATTTTGCTTACAGCAGTGATGTGGTAGTCGAAGGTAGGTGTGTTATGTTACATCAGTTTGTGTAAACTGTGTCAAGTTTGTGCTTCAGGTGTATATCATTAGAGGCATCTGTTATTGAATATTGTGTACGCAGAAGGTAATTTGGCATATTCAACCAAGAAAATAACCAGAAAGATGCAGAATAAGAGAACACAAGTCAAATTGATGTAGAGATTGAGAATGTGACTTACCATTTTGACAAGAAAAATTCATATAACTTTACAGGACATCGTAGTGGGTTGTCAAAGTTCTCTGTAACTTCATAAACTGGTAGGCCATCCTTGTTCTTTCTTGCTGCCAGACCATCTGTAAAACATGACAATGATGTCTGGATAACTGATGCAGCAAGATGTGTGGAGTAGTGCCACTGGAAAGCCAAGTAGAAAACAAAAGCAGCCTACAGATGTCCCCAGATGTAATTGTATACAGTGATGGATTAATGCAGTGAGTCTGCAAATGTTTTACCTCTAGCCAGAGGGGTAAGATCATCACTAGAGAGGAGAATACTGAAACATGGTATCCACATGAGAATGGAAACGATGGTAATCACGGCAGTTCTGAGATTATCTTTTAACATCCATTCAATAAGGTCATCTTATAAGAGAAACAATATATGCAGGAGAGGAATAGAGAAAGAATGAGCAGACAATGAGACAAGATTTAAAAGCTGAATTTAAGTTTTTTATAGACCAATTGGCACTTGGTGTGTATGTGGTCAACATTATGTCGGCCAACTGTAATTCCCAGGCAATTACCTAATACCTATATTAAGCTTGACTGACCTGACAGTTGAGGTCAGTTTAGAAAAACAAAAAGATAAATCTATCTTGATCTAGATTCAAACCCAATACACTAGCCCCAGTACCACCACACAATGGATGATAATTCTCACAAATACCATACAAAGCAACACTTTACAGCAGGACTCGAGGACAAGCATGTACAACAATTCTCACATGTCCTGTCACAAACAAACAAACCTTTCTTGCCATTGGCCAGGCAGTAGAATCTCAGGGATACATTCTTGCCGCTGGCAGCACTTGGTCCCTTCAATGGCACGCCTTTCTTCCAGTGCTTAAGGATCTGAGCAAAGGACAGGGACAGGTGTTCCTGGGCTGTCTTCAGGATGAAGTGTTTTGTGTGGAAGTATATTAATGTGTTTAGCAGGATGAACGGAGAATGGGCCCCGAGCTGCTTGCTCTCCCACAGGTGCTCCTCTTCAATACGGCACAGCATCTGACCTGTTTCATACAAATAATAGGAATTTATATGGATAAACAATGGGAATAATGAATTTTAATGAAGTAATTCTTAAGATTCTTTCCATGTCTTCTTCTTCTTCTTCTTCTTCTTCGTTGTGTGCAAAATCACTGGGGTGTAAAGGGTTAGTAAAGCCAATGCTTAGTGAAGTATGGGCACACAAAGGGTAAACATGCGTGTTTGACGGGTTGGGAGTGTAAACATTTCGGTCACTTACAACTGGAGGAGACAATGGAGGTTGCTTCTATTGATGCATGGCTGCAAACTCCCCGAGCTGTGTGGAGAAATATGTGATCCGAGCTGTGTGGAGAATTTGTGATCCGAGCTGTGAGAAGAATTTGTGATCCGAGCTGTGTGGAGAATTTGTGATTCGTGTGGGTCGACAGCAGGAGGGTTGTGAATCCAGAGTGTCGATGAGAAAGCAGGATCCAAGTTTAACTGACTGCAGGTGTGACAAGTCCTGTGGTAGTCAGTCAGTGGCTTTCAGTTTGTCTCAGAGTGTGGACATGTGCACGGATGGTTCAAGTCCTGTGCATGTATAGACTTGGTGTGACCATTTTTTTAACAATGTTTTATTCTGTGGAATTCTCGTGAACTGTGGGATGTTTGTGGTAGATCACGAGTAGGACTAGGAGTTCTGTCAGTGTGTTTTCTAGCATGAACTTGTGTCGTGCGGCCCATGTGTGTTGGGAGTCGACACAATGGCAGCTATGTGATGTCAGTAAACAGTGTCCTTGAGTGCACAGAGGGTGCTGGAGAACTTTGTGTATGTTGACTAACGTGGGAATGTGATGGGGAAGTATCAGAGGCTGATTGATGGAAGGTTAGCTGGTGAGGCTTCAATGAGTGGTTGGGATAGCAGACAGGGGGTGGGAAATTTTCACCAAGAGGTGCATCTATCTTGAGTCCCAAAGGTAGTGGGGTCATTTAGAACTGTGCATTTTTTTTTTAAACACAGTATAAGGGGAAATGGAAAGGAGCTGGCCATCAGGTGACTGATTTGGCAAAATAGTTAAAGGTGAAAAAAAAACCGAGTATCTACAGCCTGTTACATTGGATAGTATATGTCTAGAAGGAAACACCATATCAATGATTGCAGGATAAACAACTACTACTTCTTCTTTCGTTCGCATGAAACATATTATTTATATCTGCAATTCTGTCTTTAGCATGAACTTCACTGCCTGTTGTAATTCAATAAGCGACTCATAAAGTTTGAAGAGAAACTGGAGGAGAAATTGACTGCTGTAGTTAAAAAGGTGCATAACTTGAAATGGTAGTCTCTACTAAACATGAGGAGAGGAAGAAGGATGAAGCAGGAGAGAAGGACCCCCCCCCCCCCCCCACTTCCCGCAGGGAAGAGGAGAAACAACATGTTCCTACCTTGGCTATTGATTTTTGGCCGCAGTGTTTTCAGGCTTTCGTTCAAGCGGTCTGTGAATTTCTCGAAGTAGATGTCAGTGAATATGTTGTCAATTCTGCCATTCTCAAACAGGTATTGCTGGATACCTGCCCACAAAAAATTCACAAGATCGTTAAAAATCTCCACACACACAAAAAAGATACTCTGAGATATAAGACACTGCTTACAACTAATGCCTCAAATATTTGTATGACCAAGTTATCTCCGACAGCCTGTATTCACCTTTGCTTTCATCAACTTCTAACTTTTTTTCTTCAATTATTGTCTTTCATTGATGCCACTGCAATGTTTAATTTGTGAGGAGTACTTAGGTCTCTGGGACCGGCCTTTGTGTTATGGCTTGATGGACGCTTGCGAACTCAAAAGTCATGTGTTAAAATCTGCATCAAGTCTAGACTTTTTTTCAAAAATGAAACTGGCTCCCAGGTTGACCCAGTTTAAAATGGGTATCACGTAAAATTCTGGGAAGTAAAGGTGATTGGTCTCATGTTGACCACATCACCCATTGAGTGCCAATCAGTCTATATAATATAGATCTAATACTGTATACCCAATATGCCTATGGCTAGACACTCCCCTGCCAGACCAAAGGTCTTTGGTTCAGATCGGCACTGACCTTGGCTCCCGAGTCAACCTAGCTTACAATGAGTATCAGCAAATGTCTTTGGAAGTAAAAGTAGCCGGCATAATGCTGACCACATCATTCAATCATTCGAGAGTAAAATGGTCTATAAAAATATGTATAGCATTATATGCCCGATACACCACTGGCCTAAAGAGAGCTGCCATAGTGTAGTGACCAGATGCTGGCCTGTGGATCCAAAGGTCGTGGATTCAAATCCTGATGGAGTCAGGCTTTTTTCAATGCCCTTGGTTACCAGGTCGAACCAGCTATAAATAGGTCTGGGAAGTAAAGGTGGCCAGCGTGATGGCAAGCTCTATAAATATAGATGTAACCATATATGCCCAATACGCCTGAAGGGTTGGAAAAGGGTCCTTTACTTTACCATTCACTATTACTACACTCATAGGATTTTGGCTGAAAACGGCACTGACAACGACGAAGACTATATCAACAAGGCAGTGTCAGTAACGAAATGATGTCTGGGAAATGCTGTCTGTCGGTCTATATCCTCTTCATGTCACTGACACTTGAGGCATTCACAAATAACCTCTACTGTTACTGGTCTGCTGCTTTTCTGCCCATGATATCCCATATCATTTTACATGCCTTTATTTCCGTCTTCCCTGTGCGTTCTTTGGCTCATTTGGGGAATGAGATGCGAAAAAGGGGGGGGGGGACCTACTGCATCTACAAACAAGCATGTCAAAAAAGTTGAATAATCAGGGTTGTTTTCTTCAAAAGTCAGTGCATCTGCCAGAAAGACAAAGAACAAGCAGGCTGCATACAAATAAGCCAGATCTGCAAAACCTCAAGGTGTGCAAAAAGACTTAAGTCCATAAGTGGAAAATAACAACTAGAACTTTTTACTAGAGTTCACAGCCGGGAACTATTAAGACCGGGAAAAAAAAAGACGAAATTCTCTTTCTACTGTCTTTTTCCAGGTTTCCTTAGATCATCAACACTGTCTGCCTTGTTTCACTTCATACCAAGAATGCAATGTGTTCAACCTGGAGGGTCAGGTTGAACTCACCCTACTTCTCAAGACCTGTCCGATGTAGTTAAACCTGCCAGAGGCACTGGACCGTATAAATCTAAGAATCATTACAGCACAAAAGCCAACATGCCACGGAATGGTACCAGCCTCGAGGGGAAAGATAAATGCTGTCAGCAGTTCTTAAAACAAAAAGAGAAACAAACAAGACAATGATAAATGCCCGCCATACCTAAACACAGATAGTAAATGCTGTCCGGTGAATATTCGTCTCCATTCGGCTTCCGAACCTCCCTAATGAACATGCACAATGTATTGTTCAGGTCTTCGGTCGTACATTTCAACAGATCGCTGGGAAAATTCCGCAACTTATAGTTTCCAGTGGCCTGCTTGGCTTTTTCAACCTCTGCATTTTTGTTGGCAATCCAGTGTCGCCAGGCATGCACCCCATAAGTGAACTTTAAACGGAAATTGGCATCGGGAGGTGGCTCCATCTGTTGAGATATATTTATGACACAGAGAAATGAGTAACTAGTCAAGTAAAAGATCTTTGTACATAATGGGTATGCAGTGCTAGACCTACACTGTACAGATTGGTTTCCAATTGGTGGTCTGTAGACCCCTGGAGATGTGTGGAACAAATTTAAGGGGTCTGTGATAAATATTTTACATATGACTATTAAAAGGTATGGGGTCCGTGGCAGACTTTTGAAAATAAGAGTTGGTTTATGGGTCTAATCTAACTGAAAACCACAGGTCAACATCATGCTGGCTGCCTTTACTTCTTAGGACTTTACCCTGTACCTATTGTAGGCTGAGTCAATCTGGGAGACATGGTCACTTAAAAAAAAAAAATTCTGACTTGATGTGGATCTAAACTCATGAATTTCAGGTGCACTGATGATTGTCTAACTGAGATGCCAAAGCGGCTCCCTGAAATGAGTCATTTCTTCTTCTTCTCTTCCACAATTTACCTCAACAAGGTGTTGGGGGGAGATGTAAGGATCGTTTCTGCAGTTTTTCCAATGCACTGTATAGGTTGGTGTTCATTTCTGTTAGGTTGCTCTTGATTATGTCGCTCTACGTCTTGCGTGGTCATCCTGTGGTTGCTTATGTCTGTGTGTGTATTCTGTGTCTGTTTATGTATGTGTGTCTGCATCTGTGTGTGTGCATCGGCGTATGTGTCTGTATACGTTTCTGCATGTGTGTGCATCTGCATGTGTGCATTTGTCTGTGTGTGTGTCTCTATATGTGTTAGTATGTGTGTGTGTCTTTTGGTGTGTCTGCGTGTTTGTATGTGTGTGTCTGCATGTTTGTATGTGTGTATCTGTGTGTGTGTCTGTGCAAATTTATTTGTATGTTTCTGTCTGTATGTGCATGTCTGTGTATGTTTGTGTGTCTGTTTATTTCTGCGTGTGTTTCTGCATGTCTTATGTGTGTGTGTCTGCGTATGTGTCTGTGTTTGTCTGTGAGTGTCTCTGTGTGTGTACTTGTATATATATATGTTTCTGCGTGTGTACCTGTATATATATATATATGTATATATTTTTATATATATATGTCTCTTTGTGTCTGCATATGTATGTCTGCCTGAGTCTGTGTGTGTGTCTCTCTCTGTGTGTATCTACGTATGTGTTTGTTTGTTCGCATGTTTGTCTGCGTGTGTTTATATGTGTCAGTGTATGTATCTGTGTGTGACTGGGTGTGTCTGTTTATGAGTGTATGTGTCTGCATGTTTGTTTGTAAATGTCTGGGTGTGTGTGTGCGTGTGTACATGTGTGTGTGTGTGTGTGTCATTATCATCATCATGTGTCCTGCCAACTGGCGTAGGTGCTCATGCATCTTAATAAATCATGGTTGCCTGGTGTGTGTGTGTGTGTATGTACGCATGTTCGTATGTATTTGGATGTGTATGTATGTGTGTATTGGGTGTCTATATGTGTGTGTGTGTGTGTGTAAGTGAGTGAATGGGTTTGCGTGTGCATGTGGATGTGTGTGTTCGCGCGTGAGCGTGCGGATGTATTTTACCACCCATGCTTTTGTTTTTGACTTGATATTCATAATATACATATTATTACATGAACATAACATGCTTTATTGATGAAATACAACTGCTGTGTGAAAGATGGGAGTTTGGAAGGGCCGAATGTAACACAGGCCTGCATGCCTAATTTGTGACCTTTTGAAAATAAAGTTTGAAAATAAAGTTTGTTTATTCTCCCCTTCTCTGTGCATTGTTCGTTTATATTATGTATGTGTCTCTGTGCTTGTATATCAAGAAAGTTGCTTATTAAGCATGTTTGTTTACTGTTAACTGATATGGCAAAAATTACTCCTGTCTGTGTCTATCATCATCATCATGTGCCCTGTTGATAAGCGAAGCAGTCATCTTTTGTTTTCATGTAATCACCAGAATTCAGGTTAATGTTTGTGGCTTACACAGAGATTAATTAAATATGCAGAGATCAAAATGGAATGAGAGCTTTTAAAAGATATTCTTCTTCTTCTTTGTGTACACTGATTGTAAACTCCAACGGAAAGTTCTGGTTGTTTGTCCACCTTTTGACCTGTCTTTTTCCAGAACTTGAGTTTTGCGTGCACATCTGTTTCACAGATCGGACTTACCTGAAGGCAGACTGTTGGTTTGTTACCTCTCAGGCAGATACACTTCGACTTGGAAGAAAGCTCCCACTTAGCTGACTCTTACAACATGCTTGTTGGGAAAGTAGTGGGTCTGTTCTTGTTTTTCCCATAATGGGGCCCCAGAACCCACATGGGGAGTTGAAAGAAACAAAATGAAACAATTCAGCTACAGCAAAAAGGTATAAAAACCAAAGTGAAGGGAAAAGCTGACGGCAGGCAAGCAACTGGTAGACAGTGATGCAAGTGGGATACCAATATCAAGAGATGTATGAACATAATTCTGAGAGTCTAGTAAGGGCAAGAGACGGAGAGTTTTGGAGATCCACTGCGACGAAACTTAATGTGGAGATGGCACCTGACTGAATGACACCTACCGACTGAATCTGAGACTGAATGGAAGCATCGCCATGAAACGGTTGCTCCAAGCGCGGCTTCTTTGCTCTAGACACTGGGGTTCTGCCTCGGCTGGGTCGCTTGGGGACCCGCTGCGGAACAGATCTTTGTGGAATGTAATCATCCTCTGCCTGGGTCTCGTATGACTGCATGGTCAGGTGCTGCTGCTGCGGAGGTGCTTCTGGAAGAAAAGTGGGTTGTTACACATATCAGATCAGTGATCAATATGCATTGTCAGGGAATTGTTTCAACCGGATGACTAACATATAAAGTTGGCACTAAATCTCACTTACAATGATGATGATTGGATGGGGGTGGTTGGAAAGGGGGGGGGGGGGGTGGTATAGATATTATTTATGACCAGATGAAAAGAACAGGAGAGAAATGGCAGTAAGCTGGATTTGACTTTAGCCAAAAACTGTTCCCATGCTGATGGTGCCGGTGGCAAACTGATTGAAAGTCCATCTATCATCTCCCTTACACAGGTAAACTAGGAGAACAGTCTAAATCTTCTGTCAAATGTCAAAAGTCAGGAACTGATAAACTTTGGGTAAAGGAAAGGACCAAACTGTGTAATAATGTGAAGTCATAAGAATGGGAAACTTTGGAAAACAGTTCTTCTTCTTCAACTTCATTCATCTGAAGATGTGATTGCGTTGTGCTTGTTTACAGCATGGCTGTGATATCTGCACCTTTCCGTCAACACATCTGATTTCAGCAGGCATTAGCCTTCCCGGTTAGCTTCATGGGATAGCGCAATCTCATTATTTTGTGATCATCTATGATTCCCAGGTCACAGGTGGTGCCCACATCAGGCCATTCTAGAGAGGTCACCCAACGCTGATCAGCCCTCAAGAGAAGGCAGGGGTAGAATATGAGTATTCCCTGTCATCCAAAGAGGCTCCCATAAATGCAGAGCCAATACAGGTGTTCCGGTACTGGGCTCACTCAAGGAATTGTTACGTCCAGCTCATGACTGTTTGACCTCACTTTCATATACTGAACAGCTCCATTCATCATGGGCTGTCTTTAGAAGCCATCAGTAGGCAGCCTACAGATTCAGGATTTCAATTACCTACACAAAATGAGATTACTCCCTCATCCACTACAGTTTTATATGACATGTCCCACATAGATGCCTAGAGGTATCCAGTGTGGCAGCATACAGACAGATTGGTCTGCTTCATTTTCTTTCCATGTCATGGTTTATGAACTCTGCATCTCTAGGGGTTATCAGCGCTGAAAATCCCTGACAGTTTTCTTCTTCTTATACCTTCAGCTGTCAATGTGAGTATAAAGAAATCAGCAGTCAACTTGAGGCTGCTGACATCAAGTCTTTAGAGGATTTACAACGTGACAGAGAAATTGTAGTATACAAATTGTAAACTATTTGCCCGTTAGAACACAAAAGATTACCTGAGCTTACTGCAACTGGTTCCACGGACGTCTCCAGATCCTCAATTGGGCCAGACATTTCTTCCGCCATCCGCAATGCCATCTGGATCATGTCTTCTTCACCTTGTCTTTCCCTCTTCCTCAGCAGAAGTGCATCATCCTCTCTGGGTGCAGGTCTTAACACATCCTCCTCTACTGATGAAAGTAACCACACATATTAGCTATATCTATCTACACATTTAATAACCCAAGCATTAAAATACTCAAATCTATCAGTTTTAAATAACAGATTTCTTCGTCATCGGGTTGTGCTGCTATATATCATATAAGGTGTGAGTTTATTCTTCCATTCTGTTGCACCATGTGCAAATGTTTCCATATCATGGATGGAATTCATTTCAGCAGCTTTGGCCTCTCTCATCAAGTATCATCTTAGGGTTTCTTTTGGATGTCCTTGTTAGCTCAACCCAGTTGTTTCTCATTTCAGTGCCTATTTAGTGGTTCTTCGCTTCTCCTCATGATGTGCCCAATGTATTATCATCTTCTTTCTTATAACTGTTGGTAAAATTTCTTACTATATATTACCGCTTTTGTTACTGTGCATTGTTTTCTTGTCCCACCCCCCCCCCCCCCCCCCCAAACCCCCTTTTCAATAAATAAAATATATACAGGTATTAAAGACACTACCCCCAGGGATCTCCTGAACATCTGCAGGCATAAGGCAACAGATGGAGTCTAAACATTTCATATTCTGCATATGCCCTTAAAAAATGTGATTGGTAAGTTCTGGTTTACAGCTGGGCCATGACATCTCTGCCCATTGATCCAATACATCCAATTCAGTAAATCGTTAATAAGTAATCTTTCATGAAATTTATTTGATTTATCATCAACATGCACCATTGCAAGCAGCACAAGGGGGTCAATTCTCTCCACAGATTTCAGTCCGTGGTGTTTTTAATCAATTCCTTCATACAATTGCTTCAAGCAATGAAGCATCTGGCCATCAAGCAATACATGCTCACTAAAGAGGTAAATTAGAGCCCCTCCCACACACACAAAAGAAATGGGCTCTGTAAAAGGTAATGGGACAGTCTTTGCAATTATTTTTATTATTCTCTGTCGATTCAGAAACTGAAACCACAACCTCCTCTGCAAGATGTAAGTTGAGTGCAGATTCTCTACACAGATAACACTTTTCACAGTTTGGAGATCTAAAGCAATGAAAAGAGTGTCTACCAAGACCAGCTCACATCCAGAAGATTCTTTCACAAGTGCATGAGTTTGAGGACTACTGTTGCCATCATACACATCCGACATGTTTCTTCTCAGATGCTCAGCTCTTCATTCCTATCAGTCCTTTGCTCCTTCGTCTTTTACAATATTTTGCGGCGCCTCTGTGAAGAGGTCGTGACTCCCTGGGGCGCCGCATGGCACAGTTTGGGAATCACTGAACTAAACAATGAAGAAACTAACAATCAATAAAGAAACCAAACAACAAATCAATGAAGAAAATAAACAACCAACCAAGGCACTAAACAACCAACGAATGAAGAAAATAAACAACCAATCAAGGCAACAACCAATTAATAAAACCAATGAGGAAACTAACCAAGCAACCAATCAATGAAGAAAACTAACCAACAAAGCAATCAACAACAAAGCAATCAACACTCACCAGGCACACTAAAGTCCATCAGCAAGAGCATCAGTTTCTGAGTCAGTATCGCTGTCTCCAGGTCTTCCATCTGCAGCCACGGCCTCCGCCATCATCAGGAGCTCGGCTTCCAGGGGGTCTGCTGGCATTCGTTCCAGAATATCCTGACCAACAAATATAAAATGCCGTTCATTTGAAGCCATGTCTTAAACCAAAGGAAGATGGTTCATAAATGGAACTGCGTTTCTCGGGAGCTAAAATACTTTATTAAATGTCACATCAGTTTAGAATAGATAAACAATGAAGAGTACAGTTCAAGAAAGGGGTGCAGCAGGTGGTCATACTGGTCAAAACATATCTACATCTCTCTGGGGTCATCTTAGAAGCCGGTTCCCAACCATGGGTCTGGCCAACATGGATAGAATCAGAGTTTTTCTTCGAAGCTGGAGTGCAACAGTGGTCTGCACAAAAAAACAAAAAACATAAGCCAGATCTGTAAAATGATGGGCATCTAACATTTAAGTTCTCAAATGAGAACAACTTCCAGGACTTTCTGGCATAGTTGACAGCCTATGAATGCAAAGACAGCGAAGAAGTTCTGGGAAAGCTAAGGAAAAACGGATTAACATGATTGTGGACTGGAGGTTACAGACATCAAGACACAACGATGCAGCCTGATAAAAAGGGAAGGGTGAACTTGTTTGTTTCTCCATTATAATGATGACTTATCTCTCAAAGTGAATAATAATTATAATTTATCTTCTGCACATAAAATGGTATCCCTAAGAGCAGCCAAAGTATACTCACAGCTCAACTGTTTTAAAAATCCTACTGCCTGACACCCACCAAAATATTCTCACCTAAACTGTTTGAAAGCTCCAACAGTCTGACTGAACAATCAAAATGCCCTCACCTGAATTGTCTTAAAGATGCCATTAACTGACTTCCTGGTGGTCGGGATAAATATTGGCACAGGTATGGGGATGGGAACAGGGATGAGCTTCGGTGCCGGGGCCGTGAACATGACAGTCGGCATTGGCAGGTACACAGGAACAGGAACTGGCACAATCACAGTCTTTGGTGGTATTTCGTCTAGAAAATAAAATATATACCGTATTTACGTGTGTAAAGGCTGCATCTTGCAGATGACAATTTAAGTATAAAATATAATTTTCTTTGAGATGTTTGTTTGTTTTAGTATCCAAAAGCCATGAGTTGTTAACCCTTAGGCTCAGTATTATGGATATCGCAACCTTTCGGCCTTGATTCCATTTTAAATACCGTAAATCTGTGAGAAATGTGGCTTTTCTGCCTACCCCCGGGAGTGAACCCGGACCACAAGGAGTTCGTCACCCGCTCACCGCCCAATCCGGTTTAGCCAACTACGCTAAAGAGACGGGCTTTTCTTTGAGATAGAGACCAAAACCCAACAGTATTATCTGTAAGTACTGACAGATGGGCCGCACAAGAGCAAGTCACAGCTGTAAATTTAAGCTGCAAATAGCGCTTTTCGTGCAAGTGAATTTGAAGCTAAATAAGGCTGGGCAAGGCACTTTATGGTATAAAATGACCTTGTGTTGGCTGACACACAAAAATAGCGCAACGACTTCCATGACTACAGCATGGGAGCAATTGTAAATCCAGATGAAACTCACATTTATCCATACATTTTGTACAAGTGACATGTGGGCCTCATATCTCTAATATAAAAGTAAAGATACCTTTTCACGCCTTTAGGTGCATCAGGCACATGGAAAGAGCATCCATGTTTTTAGAGACCAATCATCACTAGGTGGGTAATGTGGTCAGCATTACGCCGGCCGTCTTTACTTCTCTAGGACATACATCCTGGTACCCATTTTAGGCTAGGTCAACCTGTGACACTCCATACCTTGATTAAAGGCCACACAGCCAGCAGTGGGTTTTGATCGCCGCACGGTGGAATTAAGAGCCAGACTCGCAACGCCTAAGCCAACAGATGCCGCATATCTCTAATATAAGCCACACCATATTTGTCATCAAACAATTTTCGGTCAAAATACTGTGGCCTATACAGGCGTAAATATGGTATCTCAAATGACATGTGTGGGATTTCCCATTTTAGGAACAAAACTGCATTCCTCTCCCCCCCCCCCCCCCCCCCCCCAACTACTACTTCTATCACCATCACTTTTAATATTGCAACTACTCCCAATATAACTACTATTACTACTTCTACAACTACTGATTTCCCATACTCCCAAATCCCACCTCTACGATCATTGCCATATGTTGTCCGCATTGGTCAAGGACTTTCGGGTACAAACTGGACTAATCAGCCATCTTCATGTTCCTACTTACTGATTGTCAACCTTTTTTAATTAAGTGAATGTTAAGTAATCTTCATGGACAAGCAACAACAACAAAAACAACTACCACTACCACCATCACCATATATTCTCCTTTGTCACGAAATGGCAGTGGTACACCACGGAAAACCACTCCGGTGCGTGAAACATAGCTTGCTCCGACACATCGTACATGCCTATCGGCAGTACATGTAAATAAACAACGTCATCGTATTCACGCAAGTGCAGTTCAACTATAGATCAGACTAGCGTCTACGGTATGACACACTAATAAACGTCATCAGCACGGACCGGCGCTCTTAGCTTTGCACAAATGCACATTCCGACGGGGAATTCCTGAGTGCCGCAAGTCTAGAAAGGAGCACAGGGATAGCGTCAGTAGCAACGATCCTCACTACAGAAGATGATGACGTAGGTGCGCACCTAGACCCGATTCGGAGTCTTGCGCATAGGGCTAATTCCGGGGGGAACCATCTTCCTTCCGTCTATTCAACTCTAACCCGCCGTGAAACAACATCGTCTGAGTAGTGTAATAACATCTAACACAATCTCGCGAGGTTAAGAGTGAATTGCATTCAGAAAAGGGGGTAAGAGATCCTAGAGCTCGATGTGGCCTTTGTACAAGTGTTATTTGTATTTTGATTATATGTACATTATGTTATAAAGCAGTGAAAAGTGTATATTTTGGGTGCTACCATTATCGATATTTCCTGTTGGGCGCAAGTGCTTAGATTGGGGAAATGATGGATCTTTATAAAATGATTTAAATGTGGGGGAATTATTTGATATTCTTGAATGGATATTCTTAAAAGTACCCAGGGTAATTGGGGAAATGATGGATCTGTGTAAAATGATTTAATTTGGAGAATTATGGTTCTTTCTACTTAAGTAATTTATATTACTAAGGGTACCCAGAGTAATTGGGGAAATAATGAATATGGAGAATGATGTATGCCCATAAACGGGGAAATGTATTTAACCACGTGGGTGGGTAGTACTTGATAATTTGTGACTGTATTACACCACAGGGGTGGAACCATAATATGGGAATATATTTACCACATGGTGGGATGATAATTTGTGAATGTCTTAAACCACATGGTGGGATGATAATGTGTGAATGTCGTAAACCACATGGGTGGAAACTATAATTTGTAAATGCATTAAACCACATGGGTGGGAACTATAGTGTGAATGAATTAACCCACATGGGTGGAATTATAATTGGTGAAGGTATTAACCCAATGGTGGGATTGTAATGTCTGAAGCCTTAAACCACATGAGTGGGAATGTAACTGGAAAGATTGAAATGGATTGAACCCCATAGAGGGGGAGTGAAAAATATATATAGTTGTGTGTGGGTGTATGTGAAAATTTAAATTGTCAGGATTGTCATAACCATGGCGGGACTGATTAACCCAGTCACCGGGTTAATGAAAATAAAATATACATTGAGATTCACATATGAAGCGATGTGACAACTCAAATGAATAGAGTTGTCAGAAGCTGAGGTGAAGAGAGTTAGTTAAGTATTATGGATAGTAGCCAGGCAATTTAGAGGCACACTCTCACAAGCGGTTGTTTTTGTTCTTGTCTCATTCCAGCCCGGCTGTGCCACGAAACAACTACACAACAAAGTTCTGCATTGTTTTTTTATTGTAAGCCACTGGATGGCAAAAGTGTATGGACATTATAATTTAACCACTTTGAGTGGAATTTTAAGGGCTTTGACCCTAGAGACTTCAAGCCTTGAGGGAAGAATTCCTATTTGTGAGGAGCAACCAGGCGGGAGACCGAACCATCAAGGACTTCACCTAAAGATACATCAGGTGACTGTGTTGCCCCACGAGCCTGAATCTGCCATCCATAGCTAACTCCTCACCGAGGAAGAAAATATTATTTTTTTGTGTGTGTGCCAATCACCTACTAGAATTTTATACCTATTACAATGTATGATTGTCAACTGTTCACCCACCTCAGTCTAGTTTTTTATATACTACAGTGAGAGTGGGCTGGAAAGAAAGAGTGTGAAAGATATCTTTCTCATCCTTTTCCCCTACGTATCTTTCTGGGGGCTCATATCTATTGACAGGAGGTGGGCGACGGAATATCTAGACTAGCCTGAAGCCTTTCTACATCCAGAGCTAGTCTTACCTTTCTGCCTTCTGTCACATGACCACGTCACAGTCCTCTTATATCTCACGGGGCCATCCCATAGGTCTTAATACGTCACGAGCCAATTTCTTGAGATGCGGACGCTGGTGTTGTAGA